ATCCAACTCGGAAGGATCCGCTGCCGCCTCCTGCCTGCCTGGCGTGTCGGTCGCGGCGTCCGAAAGCATTTCCTGAGGCAGCCTCAGCCCACGTCCGAAGACCAGTTGCGCACGGGTGTGGCCCCGCGGGAGCACCAGGAATTCTTACACACCACCATGTGGGAGACCGGCGTTGTGTTGGTTTTTTTTTCTTGGCAATGTATTTTGGAATGTGTTTTCAAGGTGCTTGGTATCCCAAAATGGCACTTGTCATGTGGCTTCTCTGGAAAGTATTGATGTTTGACATTTGATTTAGACGTGACGGCGGCCTCACACCAACCAGAAAAACAACACTAGAACAACGTTTTCAATGATCAGAAAGCAAGCTGCGTGCCATCGGACACTCAGACCCCTTCTATCATAGAAAACGGTTTTCTAGTGTTGTGTTGCGTTGTTTTTGTTTACAGTGGTCGTGAGTTTTGCGATGCTAGCAGCACGTCTATTGGCGGTGATGTTTTGGTACCAGAACTCCCTACCAAGTTCTGTCTGTCATTATCTGCAAAAGCAGCTAGAATCCCCGCATTTGACGTTGTGTGTCAGGTTTAGTGGTTTTTTGCGGATGGAGGGAGCCACCCGATCTTGTTTCGATCTTCATTTTGACAGATTTGACGGGCTCATGTTCAAGGCCGCAAAACCCCCAGAAAACGTGTGCACCACAACGGGCCGTTGGTGATGAAAGTCAACACTCAGTACGTGCAGCGTGCATTTTGTCAGTTTTCAATTTTGAATTTTGAAGCCAGCGCACTAGACTGGTTTCGGCAAAGAGTCTTTTGTTTGTCACGAGTTTTTTTGCGTCGCAATTGAAAGCAAGAAAAGCAACAATTAATGTATCGTCACGCAGAACAGCAACTTTGCAGGGCTCGAGCAAGGCTTTCTGGAAGCAAGTTGGCACTTGAAGATGCGTCTCTCAGAAACGAGTCTCCGCAGTAAAAGGTTTTGCGTTTGTTTCGGAGGGCGGATGTGCCTCCGCAAAGACGTTATGGGGACCAACCCTCCAAAGTGAATTAATGAAAACCATCAGTTTTTACGTCAGCACTCCGTACGTCAACTTGGATTGTGATGAAAGTCAACACCTCGGCACGCATATCATGCTGAATCTGGGGCTGGTTTCAACAAGTCAACACTCAGTGCGTGGATTTGGGCGTGGTTGTAAGAGTCAAATGTTCGTCACAAGACTTTTGCTCCCAAATGAAAGCAACGAAAGCAACAAAAATTTTTTTATTGTTGGGTACCTGCTGGAATACCTGCTGAAAGGTTGCGCAGGAACGGGATAGAACTCTGGCCCCGCTTTCATTGGGAAAACTACGAGCGCAGGACCACGCAAAAACTGTGGGGAGGGTAGAATTATATTCCAATAAAACAAGTTTGCAGGATCATCCGTTTTGCTAGCTTGGGCCGGACAGGAAGTCTTTTACCACATTGGGTGCTGTCGCATAGATTTGGGTGTCTAGTAGTCTCCAGTTCTCGCTCGTCTTCACCTTCATGGGGCGGTTTTTCCTGCTTGTGAGCGGTTTGGCGAAATGCTTTCCTGCAGTTCTCAACGATCACTTCTGGGAGATCTGCACGTGACTTACAAATCCACCAGTGTACTCCACAGCAGGTTGACTTCCGGCTTTGGAACTTCTTGCAAATCTTATTAAGGGGATCAGACCGCAAAGGTGCCTTACTTGCTTGCCTACCTCGTAGAAACCTGGACCAGAATGAAGGGCAGAGAATGATGGAACAGGTAGTCAAGCTCAAGTGACCTTCCCAGGACTTTCCCGGTTCCGGCCTCACCTTCTTCCGGACTTCTGGCTCTCAGCAACCTGCGGTTCCCTCAGTCTCGGCTCCGTGTGTCGCCACCCGGTTTCTGCTTGACCTGTTTGCGGGTGCTGCACCCGTTTTTCGAGGCTTCGTCGCACAGCGAAGTGCTTTTCTCCGGTTGACCTGCCAGTCCCACCAGCATCCGATCTGGCTTCCGATGGAGTTTTAAGTTTTTTCGGGAACTCTGCTCTTCCGGTCTGGTCGGCGCCACGTTCGCTGCACCGCTCTGTGCATTTTCTCGAGCACTCCTGTCCGGACTCCGGACTTCCCTCTTGGCTGTCCCTCGCTCTCCAGCCGTAGTGAGGTGGCACCGTCATCGTCTGCTATGGTTAGACCCCGAAGTGGTAGCATGGCAGAAGACAGCTCCCTTTGCAGCCTCAGTGGCCGCCTGTCGCCACGGTTTCAATGTCTTCAAGCAGTGGTTGTTCTGTTCCATTCCAACTCTGATAGGGTCTTCACCAGTTTGATCGGCCATCTCAATTCGGTGACTCTGGAATGCCCTCCTGTCCGTTGATGATGGCCAGCCCTTTCGGCTGCGTCTTTTGCATTGTCTGGCCCTGATTGTCAATGATCCTGACGCCGACTTTGCCCGCTTGCTGCTGTCCGGAGTCCCGCTAGGAGTGGCTTTCCTATGCCTCCTTGCCCGGTACTGCCAATCCGCATGGCAATCCGCTCAGTCACCCGGAAATCGTAGACGAACTTCTCGCTGCTGAACTGGAGGCCGGTTGGATTCAACTCAACTGGTTCCGGGGACGAGGAACTCCGGTCTCGTTGTATCAAGACAGCGGTTGGCAAGCTTGATCCTGTCCGACCGCCGTCCGCGACTTGTCGTTGATAGCTCAGTTTCCGGTGTTACATCACTGTCCTGACCCTACGCTCATGGATGTCCGGTTGTGTTCCCCGGTCTTGCGGCCAGGACCGTCTTTGCGCTCTCGTGCTGGATGTTGCTAAAGTGCACCGGCGCATCGGTATTCGTCCGTGCGATCAGGGACGTTTATGCTTCCGGCACAGGGGCAAGTTGTACCGCTCCACTTGCCATAATTTCGGAGCGCGTTGTTTCTACTGGTCCCGCATGGCCGGGCTCCTGGTCCGGTTGGCCCACCGCCTCTGGTACATATCGCACTCCGGGTTCATCTACGTCGATTGCCTCCTCGCACTGCTGGAGTCCGTTGGTGCTCCTCTCTAGTCCGGGGTTCCAGTGATCTTCTGATTCTCCGGGTTTGGATCGGTTGGAAATTCGATTTCTCCCTCCATCTGCTCCAAGTGGAATGCTCCAAAGCTTCCCGCTTCAGCTTGGATTCCTTGCTAAAACCGTCGCTCTTGCTCTCTTACCCCCTGTACTTGGATCAGCACCGCCTGCCTCCGGTCATGTGTGCTTTGACCCAGACCAGTGGGCCTCGTTGCGTCCTTTATCACTCCAGAATTACGTATTACCCGCAACCTGGGCATTCCCACCATTCACGTGGGGTCCACCCTTCTGCGTGTGGGTCAAACCCCGGTTTCATCCCTCCGAGATCCGTCCAATCCGGTGGAATCTCGCAGGGTTTGGATTCAGGTTACTGCGGTTCGCAACCCGGCTCGCCGAGTCTCTGACGAATCCAAAGCCACCCTGGGCGTCTAGACCTGATCTCCTCCGGGGTGCCGTTCCGATTACTCCGCTTGCCGGCCTTCGCGGAAGCTTGCGCCTCCGAAGGGCCTGTTCCGTGGTCCGGTCAAGCCAGCTTGATTCATGTTTGGATTTCCGGCTTCACCAACTTCAATCGGTCCGGTTAGCCGGTCCTTCCGTTCGCCTGAACGGTTTCTGCCGAGCCGGTCCGAACACAGGACCCGGCGACATCTGACCCTGGACTTTTCGCCAACGGACAAAGGAAGGGTTTGACCGCAGCTCGCTTTGTAGAGCTGCTCCCTCTCTTTTAACTACTTAACCCGGTAGGAAACGGAAGCCAGTCCCGAACTTCCTAAAGCGATGGAAATATAGGATGCAACAATCCAACAAAAACACGCCGAGCATAGTTCATTTTCGACCCCATCCTAATTTTCCCTTGTCTTCCCTAAGCTCGGATTTTCCCGATTCCTAAATTGTTCTAAAAAGTAAATCTTCCCTCCCACTTCTTAGCTATAAAAGCCTTACAAAACTCATGAACCCGAAACCCTAAACAAAACCTCATGGTGTGCCCGGACAGCTTTGGCTCTCAACGACCTCTGCCTCGCGGGGCAGGGCCCATCCTAAGGAAGCGCGGTTGAAGGTTTAGGGTTGTTTGTTGCTGCACGGGTAGCTGCATGAGAGATTTTTAGTGTTTGACACGTCGAGACCCTATACCGCAAACCCTGGTTCAGATTTAGGATATAGGGTCAGGGTGTTGCAGGGCGTAAGCATAGGGCTTGGGCTTTTGAGTCAGGTCTGGTCTCTTTCGGGTTTGGTTGTCTGAAGTTTATGATAAGGGGTTCGGACTCAGCGAGTTGAGTTGTGGACTTCGGCCGTCTAAGGGTTTTCTATGGGATGCAGCGTGGGTAAATATGGTGTCCGACGATGCAGCGGTACGGACCTGGGGTGGTGCGATGTTGAAGCTTTGGACACGGTGTTGTGTTTCGGTTTGACGATTTTGCTAGTCTTGTGCCATCGCAGGGTTAGGGGGACCTTCCTGATACTCTGAGTCCTGAGTACTGTCAGAAGTTTTTCCACAGTTCTTGGGTTGCAAGCAAGCTTTTTGAACGCCATACAACGCCTTCTGAATGCAGAAACCCTAGACATCACGATGAATCCCTGCAGTACCCGTTGAAGTCGTAGCATGCCGAGAACAAGCCCAAAGACCCTAACTCCCCACTCCCTGCGATCCTTAGTGCCCAGATTCCACAAGCCGATTCCATAAGATTTCTAGCATCGTGAAGGAACCTTTTATAGAACCCTAACCTTTTGAATTCTAACACCCCAAAGTTTAAACCCTGGACCGTACACCCTAGACAGCAAACCCCAAACCCCTGAACCCTAAA